AGGGAGGGGATTCTGGTGGATCTCAGTCTGTGGGTCTCAAGTGCCAAGCTGGGCAACTTTCTTAATCAAAACACGTCTGGATTTGGCCAAATTAGGAGTTGAAAATAAATGTGTGTGACAGGGTGACTTCAGGGATACTTCAGGGAAACTCTTTGTTCCCTTTTCCTAGAGTTTGCCACCTCCCAAAGTCCTCCACCAGAGCCTTCCCTGGCCTCTCTTAAGCCCAGATTGGCTGATTTTTAATTGATTTCTTCCCCACATGTGCACGAGGGAGAGCTGGAGAAGCCTTAGCCTCCTGTGTGCCTCTGCAGAGAGAAAGGAGGGAGGGGGTGACCTGCTCAGCTGGGAACGAGGGTGTGGGTGGGTGATCATCAGAAATGTCACCTCCCAGATGTGGCAGTCCTTGCTGGGTGGGGACAGTGGTGGGACCGCTGGGGCCGAGTTCCAAGATGGGGCTGCTCACTCGGGTCACCCGTGGTGAGAAATTGGTAAAGAATTCTCAGAAGCTGACGGGCCCTGCACGTCTGTGTGCAAACTCTGGGATGAGCTGTGCTCACTCCGGAAGGCCATGGAATAGAAATGGAATTGTTGAGAGAGAGAGATTGAACTAGAAACAAGTTTCAACACATTTCAAAATACGGCCTTGCAAAAAGACCAGGCGTTTTAGAGGATTGGAGCTGTGAAAGATGCATTGTAGCAGGACCACGTGGGGTAAAAATACAAGTGGTTGGTGTTAGAAATAATTATCAGTATTGTGTGGCAAAAGCTCACGGGGTGGGAAACATTTCCGAGGGATTGTCACCAGGAAAGAGGGTGGCTTCTGATGGAATGGCCTTGAGTTTTACATCTCTTCTATCTCACCCTTCGTGGAGACTGCAGATGGAATAAAACCTTTGAAAACACCTCTCAGTTGCCCAGAAAAAGCTGGGAAAACCAGCAGCCTCTGATGCAGGAGATGAATTATCCCATTCTGCGTGGAGAGCATCCGAGCTCTTTTACCCACCCTGGTTTGGGTAAAATCTCTCATCTTTGGCACAGATGGGAGCGGATCCTTGTCCTGAGAGCTCCTTCAGTGTCTCCCCAAATTCTCCAGCTCTCCTAAGGGCGTCCTCCAGGCTTTTTTTCCCTCACAGAGCCCTGAGGTGAGCAGTGAGGTGCTTGGTTTCTCAAATTTTTCTCTTTGCCCAGGAATCAATCCCGCTCACTGAGCTGTCAAAGCTTCTCCAAGGGCACGGGCATTCCTCGTGCTTTCACCACCAAATTATACATGACACTTAATTTTAAAGCTTAAGCATGAAGCCTCACTGGCGAGGAGATTGCTGGAAGGTATTGATTTTGCTGTGGGTTTTTTTTGTGTTTATGTATAAAAACGTACTTTAAAGTATTGGTGAAAGGACATTATTGCTGGGCACACTCTGGATTTATGCTCTGGTTTATTTTTCTCTCAGGCTTTTTTAAGATCCATTTGCCCAGCGTGTCCGTGAGCAACAAAATCCTGGGAGGAAATGGATGCCATGGATTTGGGGGGGTTTGTGCTCTTTGAGTCAAACAAATCCCAAGTTGTGGAACTGAATCACCTGGAGCTGATTTTCTAGAAGGAGAACAAGTTTCTGATGTTCTGTTGGGTGCTTGGAGGCATTTTGGATGTCTCCAAACTTTGCAAACTCCTCAGGAGGTTCATGGCTTTGAGCTCTGGGCCATTTGGCTGACGGCAAAGTGTTTTAAAGAGAATTAAAAGTCAAAAATAACCAAAATAAGGCGAGCAGGGCAGGGTCTGGGGTGGGTTTGAGTCTGGAGGAGTTGGACTCTGGTGCAGGACCCACCACGGGTGCTCTGCTCAGTGTTTGGAGCCCTTGCTGTGAGGGGAGGTGAGGTTTGGTGATGGGCTGGGCTCTCTCCTGTTGTCCTCCGGCTGATTTCGTGTCCTCCTCACTGCTGGAATCTCCTTGGGGAGGAGAACTGCTGGCTCCCCGTGCTGCCAGAGCCTTTCAGCTTTGCTCAGGGAACATCTTCCCTTTTTTTTCTTTTTTTTTTTGGGTTTTGGACAGATCTCTTGGCTCGAGGCCACGCAGGAGCAAAGTTGTGGCAAAAATCGGTCATTAAAATGATGGAAGGGCAGGAAAAGCAGCGCTGGGGGAGGGACTGAGAGCTCAGAGGCTGAAAAAGGACACAGAGAGGGTTGGTGATGGCACCTCTGGGCTCTTCTGGGGGTGAGAGCCAGCAGGGCAGGGGGTGGGAGCTGGAGGGAGACGATTCCCAAGGAGCAGCACTGGGAAAGGAGGAATTTCGGGAGGAAAGGTGGATTCACCCCCTCTGGCTGTCCGCAGTGGGGACAGGGACCCTCCTGGCAGAGCTGTGCCACGGGAGGTTCTGGTGGACTCCAGAATGGTTTGGGTGGGAAGGAACCTGAAAGCCCAGCCAGCCCCAGGGACACCTCCAGCATCCCAGGCTGCTCCAGCCTGGCCTTGGGCACTTCCAGGGATCCAGGGGCAGCCACAGCTGCTCTGGGAATTCTATTCACAGCCAGGAATTCCTTCCCAATATCATCAACCTCACAGCCAGGAATTCCTTCCCAATATCATCACCCTCATAGACAGGAATTCCTTCCCAATGTCCCATCCATCCCTGCCCTCTGGCAGTGTGCAGCCATTCCCTGTGCCCTGTCCCTCCATCCCTTGTCCCAAGTCCCTCTCCAGCTCTCCTGGAGCCCCTTTAGGGACTCTGAGCTCTCCCTGGATCCTTCTCTCCTCCAGCAGATCCCCATCCCTCCTGTGCCAAGGACCCCAGAGCTGCTCACGGAGGGTGGAGTTGCCTCCTCCTGCTTCCCTGCTCACCCCATTCCCACCCTGATTCCTGCATCCCCTTTTCCAGCATTCCCAGGCAGAGCAGAAACCCCTGGGAGCATCTGCTGGCTCTGGGTAACCCTTCAGCCAAGCCAAACACCGAGCTGGGTTTTTTGGGATGCTTCTCCACCTTGGGAAGGAGCAGGGTCAGGAATTCCCGTGCCAGCACTGCCCCTGCTTTTTCCATGTGAGCTCCCAGGGTGGGAATGCTGCTGGCTCAGCTCTGGCCCTGCTTCTCCAGAGCCCAGAGCTGCCCAGTTTGCTCACTTGCAGTCAATTCTTGGTGTTTCGATGGCTCTTCAGTGCAATATTCAACGTATTCCTGCCGAATATTCCATCCCCCCAGAGCTGTCAGCAGCTGAAAACTCCAGGAATGGCTTTCCATGGGAATTCAGTCATCCCAGCTGCCACGCAGATCCCCACACAAATATTTCCACTCTTCATGGCTTCAGCGTGGGGCTTTTTTGTGGGATCTGATGTAATCTTGTGTAATGGAGTTCTCTTGCCGTGATGCTTTGGTCTTTTCACCAGGCTGGGTTAATTTTTAAATGGAGATTGTTCAGAGCAGAGGCAGGGAAAGGACTGGAGGGATTGAATGGGCTGGGAAATGTGGGATGGATGGATGGAGTGAGTTTGGATCAGCCAGGAGAGGCTGAAAGTGGAGGAGCAGGGGAAAGGATCCAGGGTGGATGGGGCTGTCAGGAACGGTGTGAAACTGTGCCAGGGCAGGGTTGGGCTGGATACCAGGAAAAGGCTCTTCCCTGAGGCTGCTGGACACTGGAACAGCTCCCCAGGGAATGGGGACATTCCAAGGCTGCCAGGAGCACGTGGACAACGCTCTCAGGGATGCACAGGGTGGGATTGTTGGGGTGTCTGTGCAGAGCCAGGAGCTGGACTGGATGATCCTGGTGTGCTCCTTCCATGATTCTTGGAAGAGGGAGAAATTCAGCAGGATTTTACAGCTGGGCTGGGGGGAATCGCCTGAGCTGCTGCTGGAGTGAGCCAAGGATTTTGTGGCTTCAGGGGATGGGGCACCACACACAGCCCCAACCCCAAATAATTTTGTGTTTTCAGGGGATGGGGCACCACACACAGCCCCAAACCCAAATCCTTTTGTGTTTTCAGGGGATGGGGCACCACACACAGCCCCAAACCCAAATCCTTTTGTGTTTTCAGGGGATAGGGCACCACACACAGCCCCAGCCCCAAATCCTTTTGTGTTTTCAGGGGATAGGGCACCACACACAGCCCCAGCCCCAAATCCTTTTGTGGTTTCAGAGGATGGGGCACCACACACAGCCCCAACCCCAAATCCTCTTGTGGCTCAGAGGATGGGGCACCACAGCTGGCACAGCCCCAAACCCCAAATCCTTTTGTGGCTCAGAGGATGGGGCACCACACACAGCCCCAACCCCAAATCCTTTTGTGTTTTCAGAGGATGGGGCACCACACACAGCCCCAAACTTCCAATGCTTTGTGGTTTCAGAGGATGGAGCACCACAGCACCAGCCCCAAACTTCCAAAGCTTTGTGGCTCAGAGCATGGGGCACCACGACCCCAGCCCCAAACCCCAAATAATTTTGTGGCTCAGAGGATGGGGCACTACAGCTGGCAGAGCCCCAAACCCCAAATGCTCTTGTGGTTTCAGAGGATGGGGCACCACACACAGCCCCAAAACCCCAAATCCTCTTGTGGCTCAGAGCTTGGGGCAGCTCAGCCCACCAAACCCCAAATCCTTTTGTGGCTCAGAGGATGGGGCACCACACACAGCCCAACCCCAAATCCTTTTGTGGCTCAGAGCATGGGGCACTACAGCTGGCACAGCCCCAAACCCCAAATCCTTTTGTGGTTTCAGAGGATGGGGCACCACACACAGCCCCAACCCCAAATCCTTTTGTGGTTTCAGAGGATGGGGCACCACAGCCCCAGCCCCAAACCCCAAATCCCCAAACCCTCTTGTTGCTCAGAGCTTGGGGCACCACAGCCCCAGCCCCAAATCCTCTTGTGGCTCAGAGGATGGGGCACCACAGCCCCAGCCCCAAATCCTCTTGTGGCTCAGAGGATGGGGCACCACACACAGCCCCAAACCCCAAATCCCCAAACCCTCTTGTGGCTCAGAGCTTGGGGCAGCTCAGCCCACCGCTGCCCTGCCCGCAGGTGGTGCGCACGGAGAAGAACAGCCTCAACAACCGGTTCCTGCCCTGGGACGAGATCGACACCGAGGCCATCCTGTCCATCGACGACGACGCTCACCTGCGCCACGACGAGATCATGTTCGGCTTCCGGTGAGCCCCCCCGGGCCAGGGGCTGCTCGGGGCTGGCACGGCCCTTCCCGAGGGCTCCCAGCTCCCTTCCCGGGACAAACGGGCGGGAACGGGGTGGGGAGCCGGATCCCAGCTTGGCCAGGGAGCCCGTTCCACACACCGCTTCCCCCGGCTCCTCCGCCTTTGCTGGGCTGCTCATGGTCCCTGTGGCTTCCCAGGGAGGGCAGAGCCCGGGAAGCAAATCCAGGAGGCTGCTCCACTCCATCCAGAGCCGGGGGCGAGGCCGGGATGATGCTCACCTGCTGGTGGTGGCGGCCACCCTCTGCTCCGTGTGACACGGGGGTGTGACGGGTCTTGGGGCACAGCAGGCAGAGGCAGATGGCTCCAGCAAAGGGAGGTGTGTCCCCTGCAAATGGAGGTGTTCCCACCAAAGGCAGGTATCACCTAGCAATGCAGGTGTCCCCAGCAGTGGCAGATGTGTCCCCAGCAAAGGCAGGTGTCCCCAGCAGTGGCAGATGTCCCCAGAGAAGGCATATATCACCCAGATAAGACAGTTGTCACCCAGCAGTGGCAGATGTGTCCCCAGCAAAGGCAGGTGTCCCCAGCAGTGGCAGATGTCCCCAGCAATGGCAGATGTGTCCCCACCAAAGGCAGATGTGTCCCCAGCAATGGCAGATGTGTCCCCACCAAAGGCAGGTGTCCCCAGCAAAGGCAGGTGTCCCCAGCAGTGGCAGATGTGTCCCCAGCAATGGCAGATGTGTCCCCAGAAGTGGCAGATGTGTCCCCAGCAGTGGCAGATGTGTCCCCACCAAAGGCAGGTGTCCCCAGCAATGGCAGATGTGTCCCCACCAAAGGCCAGGTGTCCCCAGCAGTGGCAGATGTCCCCAGCAATGGCAGATGTCCCCAGCAATGGCAGATGTGTCCCCACCAAAGGCCAGGTGTCCCCAGCAGTGGCAGATGTGTCCCCACCAAAGGCAGATGTCCCCAGCAGTGGCAGATGTGTCCCCACCAAAGGCAGATGTGTCCCCACCAAAGGCAGATGTGTCCCCACCAAAGGCAGGTGTCCCCAGCAGTGGCAGATGTCCCCAGCAGTGGCAGATGTGTCCCCACCAAAGGCAGGTGTCCCCAGCAGTGGCAGATGTCCCCAGCAGTGGCAGATGTGTCCCCACCAAAGGCAGATGTGTCCCCAGCAGTGGCAGATGTGTCCCCACCAAAGGCAGGTGTCCCCAGCAGTGGCAGATGTGTCCCCAGCAGTGGCAGGTGCTGCTGCTCTCACTGCCACCCCCGTCCTGCTCCAGCCTCCAGCTTTCCCTTGCCTTTTCCCTGGCCAGGCTCCTGGTCTCAGCCATGAGGGGCTCCTGCTGGTTCGTGCTCCTGCAGCCAAACCTCCCTCCCTGCCAGGAGCTGCTGGGCACCCAGGGGGGCACCAGGAGCAGGGGACGCCTGGGGGTGGGAGATGGGGCACAAAACCTGCTTGGGAGGGGGATTAAAAGGCACGGAATGCCTGAAAGCCCAGCAGGCTCCTGCAGAGAGATGAGAAATGAGGTGTGAGAGGGACTCAAGGGCAGGAGGAGGCGTCAGGAGTCCTGGCTTCCCTTCCCTGCCCCATTCCAGGCTCTTTATCCAAACTGGGCAGTGTTCTCCTCTTTTTTGGTCTCTGCTTTGCTGATTAGCCCTGGAGAGCATCAAATGAGGGTTGTAAGTGCCCTGTGCTAATCTCACTCATAGCCCTGCTTACAGACACCCTGTTCCCACAAAGGCTCCTGTGTTCACACATTCCCAGGAGCTGCTGGAGCCTTGGCACTGGAGTGAGCAACTGTGCTTTGTCAAAACTTCGCTCCAGGCTTCGATTCTTGGGGCCAAAAGCATCATTTTTGCCTGTTTGCCACTCAGGAGAGAGCTAGAAACAGCTCCAGAGAAATCCTGATTTTTGGGGCTGAGCTGGGAAGGGAAAAGTGTCACGTTCGTAGGAAAGCGAATGTGGGAAAAGTGAAAGGGAATAAACAGTTTAGACTTCCAGCTTTTCTAAACAATCACCCTGGCTTGACAGGAGCTGCAGCAAACGAATGCTGGGGGGAGGATAGAGCCAGGGAAGCTGCTGGAGGTGTTGATTTCTCAGGATTATCTTGGAGTTTCCTTAATTGGAGTGGAGGAGTGAACAGCCAACACGACTGCTTTGTGAGGGTGAGGAAAGCTCAGGGAATCTCCTCCTGCAGCTCTCCCAGAACAGGGCTTGTGGGAGAAACTCCCATCCAAATGAGGGAAAAATACCCAAAAATGGCACTTACTGCCCAGTTTTGTGCCTGGGAAGAAGGGAGCACCCTTCTGTGTCCACTGGGAGTTGTCTCACGCAGGACTGAACGATCCAAAGGGAGCCAGCACTGGGAAATTGGATTTGTTTTCCAGCTTAGGCATCAGGCACTGACTTTTTCCTTAATTATTGCTGCCAGTGCTGCAGCTCTCCTGGGGGATTCCTCCGGAGGAGCGTGAGCTGCAGAGGAGAGCAGAACATTAAGCAATCCCACGCTCCACATGCAGAATTCAGGATTTCATTCCCAAGGCTGGACTGTGAGCACGTGTCAGGGTGAGGGGTGAGGGAGGCACTCGGGGCTCCAGAGGCTTTTCCTGTGGGGCCAGAGCCCAGGAAGCTGCAGTTTGGGATGAGGAGCCAGCACCTTGGCAATCCAGGTTTTCCCTCGGGAGACAACTGCAGCATCTCAGCAGCTTTTCACAGAATTGTGGAATTATGGAATTTCCAGAGTCCTGGAATGGTTTGGGTGGGAAGGGACCTCAAAGCCCACCAGTCCCACCCCTGCCATGGGCAGGGACAGTTTCCACTGTCCCAGCTGCTCCAAGCCCTGTCCACCCCGGCCTTGGAGCTTTCCTTAAGGGAGGCTGATGTTGTCTTGGCTTTTCTGGGCTGCTGGGAGGTGGAAAGTCCCATCAATTTGGGGAAAAGGCCAGGAGATGTTGGACTCTTCCCAGACTTCGGCTGCTCTGGCCTTGGCTTTCTTCTAAACCTCCAGAAGAGCCCATATGAGCCACAAAATCCCTAATTTGTGGATTAGGAGCACTTTGCCTGTGCAGAAGCAGCTGGGCTGTGCTCTAGGACAGGAGCACATGTGCCACTGTTGGGATTCCTTGGATGAGCAGTTGCCAGAGTCCTTTGTGAACAGACCCCTGCATCCCTTGCAGCCCGCCGGGAGCTCTGGGTGGGCTCCCAGCTCTGTGTCTCACCGGGTTCTGTGTCTGCAGGGTGTGGAGAGAGGCCAGGGATCGCATCGTGGGCTTCCCGGGGCGCTACCACGCCTGGGACATCCCCCACCAGTCCTGGCTCTACAACTCCAACTACTCCTGCGAGCTCTCCATGGTGCTCACTGGTGCTGCCTTCTTCCACAAGGTGAGACCTCCCTGGGGATGCAGCTTTAGGGGGTGGGGGGGTTGTGGTTTTTTAAGGACAAAAGTGGGAACTTTCTGCTCCTTCCCCCTCGCTTTGTCCAAACTGAAACACAGCCAGAACCTGGTCCTGAGTGGGCTGGGAAGGATCTGCAGTGGCCACTCCTGCTGGGCAGAATCCACAGAGAGCAGGATTGAGGGGGCTGGCACCCCCACCCCTCCGTTTCTGAGCTTCCAGGAGCGGGTGGTGGCTGGGGGAGCTTCAGCGGATCTCGAAGGGGAACGTCTCCGCCGGGATCCTTGAGTTTGGAGTGGGACGCACCCCACGTGTCACCTGTGTCCCCTGTGGGGCACCTGGAGGACGCTGTGCCTTCCCCTTGCAGTACTACGCGTACCTGTACTCCTACGTGATGCCCCAGGCCATCCGGGACATGGTGGACGAGTACATCAACTGCGAGGACATCGCCATGAACTTCCTGGTGTCCCACCTGACCAGGAAACCTCCCATCAAGGTAAAGCACCGGCAGCCAGGGGCTTGGCACTGCTGGAGAAGCTGTGCTTGGGAAGTGGGTGGTGTCTGCTCCAGGGAAATCCGGCTCCAGTGGGAAAGCTCAGCCCGTGGAACCAGCAAATCCCTGCCACAGAGCAGGCGAGTTGAGGTTTGGCATTACAGCGTTAACCAGACTGAATTCCCTGCCTGGTGAGAGGTTCCCTGCCCACGGCAGAGGTGATCTCTGCTCTGGGGCCAGGCGGAGAGCTGGGGATGCTCACCTGGAGAAGAGAAGGATCCAGCCCCCTAAAGGGGCTCCAGGAGAGCTGGAGAGGGACCTGGGACAAGGGATGGAGGGACAGGACACAGGGAATGGCTGCACACTGCCAGAGGGCAGGGATGGATGGGATATTGGGAAGGAATTGTTCCCTGTGAGGGTGGGGAGGCCCTGGAATAGAATTCCCAAAGAAGCTGTGGCTGCCCCTGAATCCCTGGAAGTGCCCAAGGCCAGGTTGGAGCAGCCTGGGACACTGGAAGGTGTCCCTGCCCATGGCAGGGGTGGGGCTGGGTGAGCTTTGAGCTCCCTTCCAGCTCATCCCGAGATTCCCTGTGGATCCGGGCGCTGCGGCGCTGAGCCCTCCGTCCATCCCGGCAGGTGACCTCCCGCTGGACCTTCCGCTGCCCCGGCTGCCCCCAGGCGCTTTCCCACGACGATTCCCACTTCCACGAGCGGCACAAGTGCATCAACTTCTTCGTGAAGGTGTACGGGTACATGCCCCTGCTCTACACCCAGTTCCGCGTCGACTCGGTCCTCTTCAAGACCCGCCTGCCCCACGACAAGACCAAGTGCTTCAAGTTCATCTAGGGAGGCGCGAGAGGGCACGGGGCTGGGAGTGCACAACGCCCCTGGCTGAGGCAGACGGGACAGCCAGGAGCGGGACGGGCTCTTCCCCCTTCCCTGCGCTCCCAGCGCAGCTCACCCGGATGGGAATGGGATCCCAGGGCTCCTGTGAGGACACAGCCGTGGATTGTACACTGAGCAATGGCTGGCTGCCCACTGGCTCTGCCCCTTCGCTAGCCAAGGGCAGCCGTTCTTTTTAATTATAATTATTGTTATTTAAAATGAAAGTGTTTTAGATTTGCCGCGTGAGGCGCTTTTTTGTTTTGTTTTGTTTTCTTTTCCCTCTCCCCCACCCCGTTTCCCCCCTCTGGAGGGGACTGTAGCAAGGCCAGGCTGGAGGTGTTTGGGTGCAGCACCGGGGCAGCTCCTGTCCCCACTGCCGTCCCCATCCATCCTCCATGGCACAGCCCTTCCCACCCACCAGATCCCGGCTTCTCTTGCCCTGTGGCTACTCCTGAGGCCCCTCAGGTGTCACCTGGTGAGGAGCCCTTTGCTCTGCTTTGCTCTGCTCCCCACCCTGAGCCCCTGGAGAGGGCCGAGGTTGGCCTGGCTGGTCCTTCTGGCTCCAGCTCTGCCCCCACGCCGTTCCCGTGCTGCAGCCCGGAGGGTTCAGTTGCTGCTGTCTCAGTTCTTTTCCCACCTTGTCCTGCTGATCCTCTCAAGACAGGGAGCGTGTTAGGGGCTTAGGGAAGATCCAGCTGCAGCACAGCCAGGGCTGGGGGTGCTGCAGGCTCCTGGGGGCTCTGACCCTGGGCGTGCCAAAGCTGCAGTTCCCACCCTGCCTCGTCCCCATCCCGGAGCGCAGCGTGCCCGTGCCGGGTTGGCCGTGGGCCTCCGCCCGGCTGCCTTAACCCCAGCCCATCCTCACGGCCTGGCTTTGGGCTGTGTCCGAGGCTTAATCCCAGCAGGAGCTTCCCAGTGTGGGATGCTGCTGGGATCACGTTCCCAGCGTGGGTTTGGAGCTGCTTCCTCTCCCCCAGAGCGGAATGCCGAGCTCAGCTGCTGCTCCACCCCGCTTCAGGCCCAGCTGGACATGAGGGAGCACAGGAGGGAAGGGCAGGGCTTGGCCCTCGTGTGATGCTCTCCCTCAGCACATCCCAGATGTTTGCGAGCAGCCTGGAGAAGCTCTTGCTGGGTAGGTGGGAAGGTGGCACCTCGGTCACCTTGGTGGCCCTGGTTTTCCTGGATGCCACCGCTGGTGTGTCTCTGGTGGCTGGGAGCAGGGATGGTCCAGCAGCAGCTCCTGGGCTCGTTCCCAAGGTCAGCCCTGACCAGACTCTTCCTGCACCACATTTTGGGGCCTCTCCAAACTCCTCCCCCCAGGTTTTCCTATCCATGCTGACACTTCCTCCGTGGGAAGGGGAGGGAAGGAGCAGCCTGTTCCCAGCAGAGCCCATGGCTCGTGCCTTCACCAGCACCACTGACCACAGCAAAACACGGATCAAGGAGTCTTTTCCTGGATTTTTTTCCCCCCTTTCCATTCCCTTTTTGTTTTGACATCAGATGCCCAGAACGAAGCACGTGAATTGTCACAGTCTCCTTAAAAATGCCACAGGAGACTCCTGGGAGGCTCTGGAACACCTGGAAGGATTCTCTGCCGTGCCCAGGGTGGAAATGTGGCACTTGCCAGGAGCTGTGTCAGCTCCAGCATTCCCGAGGGACCTGAGCTCCTCTGCCACGGCTTTAATTGCTCCCTCATTAGTGGGGGCTCGTTAGCAGGATGCCGTGGCTCAGGTGCAGCCCAGGCCCGGGGTCAGCTCTGCCTTCCCAGCCCTCCCAGAGCACAGAGTGCTGTGGGCAAGGACTGCACCCAGACACAGGCACTGCTCGGGAGCCTTCAGGCCTCCCAAAATCCGAAGGGAAACGTCATTCCAGTGAGGGATGGGAAGTGCTGGCATTGCCCAGGGCGTGCTGGGGCTCGGGATGCTCAGGGAGTCAGAGCCCCAGGCTGGGAATTCTGCTTTCCCTTGCTGAGTTTTGAAGTCGGGGATCAGCAGAACAAATCCAGCTCTTCTTCCTCCCAGCTCTTTGGCCTTTTCCCAAGCTGTTTTTATTTGCTGGGAGGGATTCCCTGTCCACTGTGCTGGAGCAGGGGGATCTCTGTGTGTCGTGGCATGAATTCCTCCTTGCTGAGCGCCCCTAAAGGGGAAAGATTTGGGGGTGAAAGGGTAAAGAGGCTTTTCCTGGGAGATAACCTGGGCAGCAGCAGCGTCGGGAGGGATGGAATTCTGTGGGGAAATGAAATGCCAGCAGGAACATCTTCCCCACCCACAGGGCTGGTGCTGCCCCTCCCGCTCCTAATGCCGCAGCTCTTTCCCAAATCATCCCAAACACCACGGAGCCCCTGGAGCGCAGGATTGGGATGCACAGCCCAGCTTTCTGCTCCTCAGACGTGCCAGCACCTGAGCTGTCCTGAGCCCCTCCACCAGGGAGGAGAGGGGGCTTTTCCAGGGAGTGCTCCAGCCCGTGCTGCCATCCCAGCACCCTTCCTTGCCACCACCCATCGTTCTCCCGGGACTTTCAGGGCATGCCAGGGCCACTCCGAAGCTCAGGTTTGGTTGTGTGATCCATCCCAGCTCCCGGGGCACGCGGCCTCCACCAGCCCAGCCCTGAGGAGATGGGAAGGGCTCTTGGCAGCTGCACCTTTTCCCTGTTCCAGAGTTCCTGCTGCTTCCCCCGGGCACGGAGCGAGGCCTTTCCCACTGTAAATAGCAACGACTGAGGTGACCCGGCCCTGCCCTGCCCTGCCCTTGTGCCCTCGGTGCTGTGAGCACCAGGATTTCAAATCCAACAGGAACTGAGAGACAAGGAACACTCCTTCGACACGAGCACAATGTTGAGTTTTTTGTAAAAGGTTCCAATAAATGGAGAGTTTAACTTGGGAGTGTCTCGGTGCCTCTTTGCTGGGGCTGGGAGAGGGGCCCAGGATGGGGCTGGTGTTGCTCCTGGCCCAGGGACACCCCAAAACCAGGGATCTCCTGGGGTTCATTCCCACAGGGCAGGTGAGCTGGTCTGGAATGCTGGAAACTCCTCAGGGATGGCAGTGCCTGGAGCTAAATAAACCCCATCGTGTCCCTGGTGAGCTCATGGCTGGGCCAGGGGAGTCCCTGGGAGGAGTTGGACCCTGAGTGGCTTCCAGGGACATCACATCCCATTATCCCATCCCATCCCATCCCATCCCGTCCCGTCCCATCCCATCCCATCCCATCCCATCCCATCCCATCCCATCCCATTATCCCAGCCCAGCCCAGCCCAGCTCTGGGGCTTTTGTTTTTTGCCCTCCCTCCCAAGCAGCTGCTCCCTGCATGGTCACTTTTTACCTCTGGTGTCACTTTTCACCTCTGTGCCTCCTGCCCTTGCTGCTGCTCCCACAGGGAATTTTGTCCTTTCTTTTCCCTTCTGCCTTGGAGTAAGGCTTGCTTTGTGCTTGGGTTTGTTTCCAGGAGAGGTTTCAGGGAAACCCCAAAGGCTTTTAGTCCTGGAGGCAGGAGGTGGATGCTCAGCCTCCCAAATGCCTGTGATTTCTCCCCAAAACATTGCAGGGAAGGGCACAGAATTCCCCACTCCAGGACCCCGGCCTGGCAGCAGCAGAGGGATTCTGGTTTGGGGTCTGGCCCCTAAACGAGCCCAGCAGCATCTTGGGCACAGACTCAGCTGGAGCCCATTTTCTCCCGAGGCTTCTCCTGAGGTAAAAATCTCCTGATCAATATTTTTTTTCCTGCTGTAACTGCTGTGTTTGTGAGAGGAGCCACAGCTCCGGTTCCATTTCTGTTTCTCTGTGAGGGTTTGTACCCTGGGATGAGGAAACAGAGGCGATAAACCCTGTTAATAATTCATTCCCTGCTCCCAGGAGGAGGGCAGGGTGAAGTGCTTTACACTCCACTCCTCTGCACTACAAAGTGCCCTCGATTTTCCCTTTTGGATGATGCACTCCTTGATGAAAAGCAATTTTGCTGGAATTGCTCCATTCTG